AGTACTAATTATGTATAAAGTATTTAACTACGTTCAAGTTAGGTTAACTTTTGGGCAGAGTAGTAAGCTGGTAACCACGATCCACGGTCGTATACACAGATCTGGCAATTTCCGTGGTACGGGTAAAATTCTTGAGCACAATCAAATAAACAAGTTTGGACACACGCTAGGGAAAACTGTCCATTTTTTGAATTAAAAAATGTCAAGATGGAGGGTAAGAGAAGGTTTCGTTATACGAGACAGACAGAAATGAGCAGAATACCTCTGTCTCTGTCTGTCTCTGTCAAGCATGCGCAGAACAAAATCCTTCTTATTTTCCGCGTTTCGGACACAACATTTTTTACGACACAACTTTCGAACGAGTTTTTCTGTTTTCGGAACGAATATACAAGCAGAGGGGAAACGATAGTGTTAATGCCTATAAGGTCCAGTTGGCCCTCGAGAAGAAGTATTGCACCAAGCGGCTAAGTATTGTACTGATTGAACTCTAGTATAGACAAAAACCTATTTATTTCCACGCTAGTATGTAACGTATGTATAACAAAAACCTATTTAATTCTATGGTCGTACGTAAAAATTCATATTTTTCTATCCGAAATATACAAGTATAAGAATAACAGAATCACATAGTAATCAAAATGAGTTGGCCTAAGAAAGAGAAATTAATTTTTTAATCTATCGCAATTTTTTAATCTATATCGCATCGCGTCGATGTTTTTGTTATAATAAAACCTAATTTCATTTTAATAGTAATCTCACTAGGCCAGCGAATAATACATATTTCTGACGAATCTGTTTGCAGAACAAATTAACTGTAGAAAGATTTCACACGTAACAATTGATTTGTTATCCACGACTTTTACTCATGTTACTTATATTACTGAGTAAAATTTATTAATTCCATGAATTTTATATGAATTCAAATGTAACGGCACAAGGCAAAGAAAGAAGACGAGAAAAGACACTGTGTTAGTGTGCTATGGTGTATCATGTTCGTGTTTCTATACTCCTTACACCTAAGGTTTTGTCCTAACAGTTAGGATCTAACTGGCTCTATCGCATTAAGACAAGTTCGACCAACCGACCAGCAGTCAAAAGAGAAAGTTTAATAAGCCCATTCAATGCTTCATTTTAATCAGGAAAATTTTACCAATATGTTAATGAAATTTTTATTAGCAAAAAATTAAAAATAAAAATTTTTCGTCGTTGTATTAGTATTGCCTCACTGATGCGAAAGCGATCTTACTGTGCGACCTTCTTGAGTGGCTAGGATTTAGTCAATGTTTAGAGCACGCCATGAAGCTATCGACGATCCTAGCCCTGGAACGCAGGACGTGCGATGGCTGTCGAATAATATTTGCGACTGGTTTTCAAAATGTTTTTGTCTGTAGCATTTACATATTAATTAATTAGGTATATTAAATTTTGTGTCATTTAGTAGTACTTTCATATGACTATGGACTCATGTAAGAAAATACCAAAAGCGAATTCAAGGGAGTCACGTTTATAGCACGCTTTATAAATTCGGAAATGTCGAACTCGCGTGGTTTTATTTTGACGTTCGTCCACGTCGACGATTGTACGAAGGATACTCGAATATACCAGGCATCGCAGTTGCAAAATGTCGGGACCCTCTGGTTTACATTATCGTACGGGGAGGGCTTAATTTATGACACCCTCAAATGTTAATGCTTCTCTTTTCCCGAGAATGACGAAGGCCAGGTGCCCGTCCCAGGCGTTCGAATTTCACATTTTCTTACAGTCGTATATTTTAATAAATATAAGAATAGACAAATCCCCTTGTGGGCCTTTGTGGGCAAACGTAACTGCCGTACCGACTGAGAAACTCGACATTGATTTAAGCATCCTTTACTCATAAACGACCATTTGATAAAGTATTTACTAAAAAAGAATTAGTAGAGCCTAATAGCACACATGGCAAATGCGTGTGTCCAGTGGAGATGATAGACAATTGCTTAGGTACTTCAGTAATATGTATGTCATGTGTGTATTGAATTAGAGATATATACATATAAAGAAATAGATGAGTGAGCAAAGCTGCGGCGACGACATCTCGTAGGCGTATCAGTAATGAAAGTAAAAGGTAAAAGTCGTGGATCACAAATTAGTTATAACATTAAATCTTGTCTGCATAAAATCATACAAAATAAATAAATCACGTCAGAAATATTATTCGCAACCTATCAACTACTGAAATTACTATAAATATTGAATTAAATATTAAATTAATAAACTACATTGAAATAATATTTGAATTTTTTATAACAAAAATATCTCTACGAGGAAAGTAACTTTAATGTTAAATCTAAAAACTATTATGTATGGAAAATATATTAAAATTACTGCACCATTCCATTGATCCGTTACCGTTTCAGGGGAAAGATTTTCTTTTCTTCTCCAAAAAAATATAATAAGCTAAGTTAAGTTTATTATTGTGCAATTTTGTTATTCTCGTACTTGTCTATCTTGTATAGAATAGCATGAACTTTTCTGTAGAACCACACAGTGAAATAAGCTTTTGTAGTGTGGAACCACAGCGAGTATACCTCGTTTGTGGTGGAACTAAACAGGTTCTTGTATATGCTAGCGCGAAACCAAACAGTGCAAATCACTAACTTTATCGGTTCTTGTATATACTAACGTGGAACGCCTTCAGCACTTGGCCGCTTGGTGCAGCACTTGTATTGTGAAATAACTAAAATAATGGGCGCGAGCTATGGTCGTATACACAAGTCTGGACTCCAGTGGAGGAAGTAAGGCTCTAAATATCGGAAGCTACGCTGTACATATCGGCCATCATGGAACACTGCAATTGTGAAGTTATGATTTTGTATTCAATATCATCGTTATATAAACTAAAGAATATAAACTAAACCATCGAGCTTACTCAATGACTAAACTAAATTATTCTTCATAATTTTTCACAATTTATTTAAAATAAGTATGTATACAGGGTTTCATTTGGTACAGAAAACTGCTGTTTAAGTAAATATTAATTGTAAATCATTATCAAATATGTATTATTATCTTTAATAAAAAAAAGTTAACAAAATTGCGACCCCTAAATCAAGTATATACACATATATTTAATGTAATGTAATGTTGTTTCGTATAGTAATTCGGCTGGTGAGGCTCTAACATCTTCTTTGAATTTCTTCGTTCGTCTTTGTACGCGATTTGTATTCTAAGTAAAACGACTGGTAATCCCCACCCAATTTTCATTATTATGACATCCTAATGCGGTTTTCAATGAGCGACGCTACCGTTCGACCAATCCGTTTGACGCTAGGTGGTAGACAATGGTTGGTACCCGTTGACATCCGACGATGGAGGACTTTGTCCTTGAAAACCCTATCAGTTGTGATAGTTTCCGATAGTCCGATCCTTTATTTCTTGTGGGATAATAAAGGTAGTTGACTGTAGATAACACTGATATTAACAGGTTATTATATATTTGAATGCTCCAACAACTTCAGTGTGATACAAGAATGAGTATGTGATATGACAACTACGAACGAGTACGACCTGAGACTCCTTTCGTGATGACGATGATGATGTATGTGTTCAACTTGTAGTTTCTTGCTGGACTTCTGACTCTTGATGTTCCTTGCACCAGCCTTTAACTGGTTCTTGACTTAGACTGACTGAGATTTGACTGAATATAGATTAGAGCGCAAGGAGAAGAAGTAGAGTTGATCCTTCTGATGATATAAACTCGATCTAGACTGGATGTAAACTGGATGTGAAACTGGATGTGAAACTGGATGTGAAACTGGATGTAAAACTGGATGTGAAACTGGATGTGAAACTTGGTGTAAACTTGGTATAAAACTTGGTGTAAAACTGGATGTAAAACTAAGAACTAAAAATAAAAGCGACAAGTCAGTTTTACACCATGTTATTACGGAAGAAAACTCGGTGTGGGTGTGCCCCTTGCACGAAGAACGCGGATTCGTTGTTCACACTTTTCGTTAGGAAAAGTGAGGGTAATGATCCGCGATATCAATTGGTTATGACCTACTTTAATGCCTGAAGGTATGAGGAGGAAGCCTCCTACCAACGTGGCTCATGGGTGGCCTTATTCATGGAAAAAATCAGCCTTTTTGTTAGACAAATATTCGGTTTTTCCCAATAGATGACTACCCGTTTTCTCCGTGTTTGTAAGAGCGTGCAATAGACCTAAGGACTGTTTTAAATACCAGTTATAAACCGAAAATACTTGCATAATTAAAGGTTCCTGCAAGCTAATAAGATTCGGTTTGTGTTGGGGCCTTAGGTTTATTGAGGGTCTGTCTAAGGAGGTTTGAGCCTTGACGGTCATACAATCAAGGACGTCGCACGGACCATTTCACGTGACGTAACATGAGGATATCAATGATCCCAGCGATTTCGTCCGTTTGTTATGTTAGTCGTGACAAATCTTGAACATCACTGATTGCAAGAATCCCTCGATCGTTATTTGGAGGTTTTTGAAGGATAGAAGTCCTAAAAACGCTCTCATTACATAACCCATCCGCTAGATTTCTTAAGCGTTATAGAAAATGATTTTTCGTCTACAAGTTCATTATTGCGAAGAAGATCCCTCAACTTGAATTCGCTAAACTCATCAAACGAAGAAATAATACGCGCTTTCAGAGTCTCATATTTATCTCTAGTCAATGAGTTTCTAAAGATTTTCGTGACAAAGGACAAGAGGTGTGTTATCTTTTTGATTGCGAAGGCCGCCTCAATTTCTGTAAATCACAAAATTAAGGTTCTCTCTTCAAAAGAGAGATTGTTTAACCATCGACAATGCGTCAACTGCGTTTCAGACATTGTGTTTGTTAAAACTCTTTGAGGAAATGTTTTACATCTTGTCGGAGAATGGTGTAATGGCATTTCGAAGAGATCATGTCGAGGTCACCAATTTGTGGTGGTCTTGACAGTTAATTCTAATGATTCAATAACTCTTATAATGTAGTAAACTCTTTATTTTATAACTTAACTTATTTATTTAACACTTTAACGCTGAACTGAACTTACAATAAATTCCGATCAAATATTATTATGTTTGACACGTCTCGATACTTCAGATTCTCGTCGCTAACTGACTACTTACAAAAAGAATTACGTTAATAATAAAATAGAATAGTTAAAATACATGTACGATGTGATAAAATAACATATAGTAAAGTATAAATATAACAAGGTATTAATAATTTTGATAATTAAATTTTCTTTTTCGGCTGATAAAGTAGAGAGTTTCTTTAATTTGTTGGTACAGTTGGCAAAGTTGGTACAGCGTACCTTAATCCAAAGTTAGCGTAAAGTGGCTCTGAAGTCCGCTGCAATCATAATTTCTTAATTGAAGCGCTTTCCTGCAGACAAATTGATCAACATCATTTGATCACTAACCTACCACGAGAGTTTCCAATCCTATATACAGACCTATATATGACCGAGATCAGGAGTCCAGACCCCAAATGTGGAACACAAAAAGGCATTGAATGTCACGGCTATTATGTACCTCGTTCGTCATACTATACATTATTAATCCCAGTGATAATTTATTTTATTTAAAATATCTGTATGTTCTATATATTATTAAATAACTCCAAAAAGGAGTGTAGAATAACTAAATTAGTAACCTGATTTTATCAATTTGATACCTGAACTTGCAATTTTGAAAATTTCAATTTTCTCTGGTTTTTTGTGCTATGAGAATTAAATGAAACTGATTTAACATAAATAAACGATATTCTTATAAAACGAAAAATAATTACGTATCTGATAGAAACTCTTGTAATTTTAGATTGCAATCACTTATATAAACATGCATTTTCACAAACACAATTACGCAAATAAAACCTAAATAGAAAGTGATTTTATCTTCTAAATATTACAATAAATAGTTTGCTTTGTATAGTTTTATTAATACATCATTTTTTAATATATCAAATTTACATGAAGTTCATTACCTAAATAAATTTTTAACTTTACTACTATTATAAATGCCAAAAATAAAAAAAGTGTATACTAAGGAAACCAATCCTTTTTGCCAAACAACCTCCTTGAAATATGTAAACATAAAGTCTGATATACGACAAATTATTATATATAAAAACTATACAAACAAACTACATACTACAAACTACATAAACATATTTTTTAAATTTAATAATACACAATCCATTATCAATTAATACAATTTGAACACAATATTATTATTACCATCTAAAAACATACAAGCAAGTTTCACAAAAATACATCAAATATAAACAAATTTTAAAAGATTTTGGAAATATTATTAAATATGCTTAAAAATGCACATATTACAAGATAATCGGTATTTAAAAAATCAATGGTCAAAAACATGATTTTTTTGTCTTCACGGTTTTTAGCTTAACTGTTTGAGTTCCAGGGGTCATAGAAAAAACAGTAGAAAAAGAGGCGTAACAGCGCTCGTCATATTTGCTACTTTATGAAATACATCTATATTATTATATATGCGTACTATTAGTTTATAAATATTTCAAGTTTTGTTCAATAAAAATTATTGAGAAGATATCAATGAAATACAAAATACCGTCAAACGTCCGTAGCGTTCAAATGTATTGGGATTTTTCAACAAAAAATTCAAACAGCGTGATCGCGCTGCTTAGGACTCAAACGGTTAAAAAGCGATTGTATTAATATAATAATGTTTATAATATAGCGAGATCGTAAAATCGATGAAACATCAATTCTTATATGCATGCCAGTGTCTGAATGAACTAATTCATACAGTTTTTAATCTAAATCATAAAAAATTCTTATGGCTGCTAAAAAAATATAAAACATGTATATATCTCATACAATCATAACAATATTTTGAATTAAAGATAATCTACTTCACTATGATACTTCGAAAAATTTTTAATTTTTGTAAAATGTCTGATATTTAATGCAGCAATTTTCCATTCATCATAAATCCTCCATTAATACATTGGCCTAAATCCTATATAAAATACAAATAATTAACACAGTAACTCTTCATGTACTTCATTATGAATTAAAAGAATACATACTAGGATTTGGAAATGGACAAAATCTATATATATCTGGCTGAATAAATCGTGGTGGATATGGTCTTAATGGACTCATCATATGCCTAATTCCTTTTAAAGGAACTTGCCTTGGAATTGGAACCAATGGTCCAACCATTATTGGTCTCGGAGGAAAACCCTAATGACCAATGAAATTTAATGTCAGAAGAATTATATTCCACGTATAAATTGAATACTTACTCCATAATAAACAGGAACAGGAATGGGTTCAATATAATGTGATGGAGGTAGCCTACGTTCTCTAGACTTATCTCTTTCTCTTCTTTCTCGGAATCGCTCTCTCGATTTTTCTCGATAAGGTCTTTCGTGTTTAGATGACTTGTTGCTTCAATAATATTTATAACATTTAGTTTTCAAAAAACATCATTTTACATTATTTCATATTTTATTATGTACCTGTTATGAGAATCTTTGACCCATGCTCTTTGTTCTCCTCCCTTTGAATGTGAATTATCTCTATTACTTTTTCTTTCTCGCAGGTGTTTTTCCTCTGCAGTGTGCAATTGACTATGTAGCCTGACTTTTTCTTTATACTCTCTACTTCCACCTCTACTATGATCTCTGTCTCTAAATAAATTATACAACATTACAATAAAACTGAAAAATAAACATATTAACCAAATATACAAAATTATAACGAATAATTGGTACCTATCATTTCTGTAACTATCCCTGTTATTATGTTTTGAATCTTTATACCTAAAAAAGAATACTTAAGTAACAAAAGTTTAGTTTTAAACTTTACATTAAATTAACTTTAAACTAAACATTATCGTATTAAAACACAAAATATAAATACTATTATTATTAATATATTAACATAATATATTAACGGATTGATATTATATAATTTTTACGTTTTAATACGGCAATACTCTGTAATTTATATCTATATTTCACTAAATATTGAATTTATTTATATATAAATTATATAAAAATTTATATATAAATTATATAAATTACCAAAAAGAAAAAATAGTTAATAGTAGCATGATGAATAATCATGCATTATAGCAAGTTAGAAAATATAAGTGCTGAAATTTATTATAAAATGTAAGTAAAAGCAAGTAGAATAATTCTCAAAATAATATTGGACTTAAATGAAAAAATAAACAGATGTGCACAATATTATAAAAAATAACAATTTTATATTCTATTTGTTATACATTTAATTGATTGCTTTGCATAATCCTTAATAATGAATTAGGGATTAAATGGCCAAGACAAATGGTAATTAGTACATATAGACATTAAATTTACTTTTAGAACTTCAATCACTTACCTTCTCATGATTGTTATTAATCATTACATCCATAATACTTTACCTGAACAAAAAACATATAAAAGTCGGATATGATATGCTAATGTTAGTATAGACAAAAAATATTACTAATAGATTCCATTTATATTAACATGTTAATCAAAAAACCTATATTATAAAGTAACATTTACTAGAAATGAGTTGTGAAAATTTTATGAACTAAATTGTTTTTACTAACTAAATGGTTTTTGGATTTCATGAAGAGATAATTACTTTGTATTTATTGGCATGAAGATGACTGATTATTTATAAGATATTTTAACTGAAGTTTGTGAGAAGAATACCTATGAAATGCACGTATGAATTTGAATAGCAATATTTTCATGTAACTTGTTCTAATTCATTCTTTATTCATATGATAGAAAGTATTTTATTATATTATTACATTTTTCTTGAGGAAGAAGAAAGAAACGAAATATATACTCTGTCTAACGAGACGAGGCAGCAAACAAAACTTGAATACGTTTACTACCTCGTCTCGTTAAATAGATTATATATAGTCAAATCAAAAAAGAAAACATAAGCATTGGTAATGACATTACCAAACATATGCATACAGATATATTGCGAATCAAATTCCTTTCAATCTTTTTATACCAAAACTTCATTAAAGTAACAATTACATCATATCCCTCCACTTAGTGGAGATGAAAGAGAAGTCGGGCTTTTAGCAGCTTAGAGTTACCTTTTTCACCGAGTTTCCACTTCTGATACATCCAAAAAAAAAAAGAAACAAGCATAAGCTAGAACAAAACAGACTATAGTAACACAAAGCATATACCTAAAATAAAAGTCACATAGCACAATTAAATATAAGGTACGAATTTAGTAATACATGTTCATTATGATCATAAATGTTCTAATAATACTTATAAATGTTACATACATTATTCCTGTATTCCTATATGTTATATATATATGATAATAATTTATTAGGTACTTACTAATCTAAATTTGTGAAGTATAGTATTTCAACAAAATATATAATATTAAATGAAAATATTACTATTAATAATAAAATATTATTATTATATAAAAATTTTATATAAGTAAATAATTATATCCATTATTTTTATGAATATATATATATATATATTCCATTTTGTGCAAGAAGTCATGACAATAAACAAATTAATATTACTCGAATCATAATAAAAATTAAGTTAGTATATTGCAGTATGTGTGTATACTGGGTATATATGTGTGAAGTATGTAAATGTTCATATATATGTAAGATATATGTAATAAGTATCAATAACCTTTTTTTTTGTAATAGGCTATGAGCTTAAAATGCAAATAACGGTACTAAGTAACCATGTAGTGATTACTAAAGTGTTTGTGCAAGATGTAAAAAAAGTAAGTGTAAAGAGGATCGTAGCGTGATTTTACACCTTCGAATCAAAGGAGATTTATAAAAAAAAAAAGTTGATATTGTAGATAAAGCCGGTTTAAGAATTACTAAAGTTTTAATATTCTTTTCCCGGCAGGAGTCAAGCTTTTTACAAGACATAGTTCATTTGACGCTTTTCTTTCTTGTAAAAGTAGAATTCGTTGCAATAAAAAATGTGACCGTGAATTCGAGGTCAAGGTCGTTATACATGAACTTTGTTTACAAATTTTCACCGATGCGAAGGTATAGAATCGCGCAACGATCTTCTTTAAACTTACTTTCTTTACCCCCTGTACAAATCTCCATTTTCCTATGATGCATCTTTTTTATTATGGTCTATATTTCATTGTCATGGTATTAGATTTTTGTCATATAAAAGGACTGTCAAATGATATAAAACATAATATACTTTGATTTAATTAATTAATCCATAAATTTCATAATAAGCACAATGATGTACACGATGTACAGAGTGTGTACAAAAGATACCTTCTGTAAGCACTATGTAGCAATACTTTTATCATATCCATGGTAAAATTACTATATCCATTTCGTTTAATAACCAATACATAAATACAGGCATTTATATATCAAACCTGGTATGATGGGACGATCTACATGGAGGACTTCGACTTCTTGAAGAAGTAGTATATTCTTTATTTGCTTCTGGCTTGTTTTCTAAAAATAAAACGTCATTTTTTACAATGAAATACAATTTTGATACACATAAAAAATATCTTATCAATTTAAACAAAATAACGACAACAGATTTAAATTTTTAATAATGAACAAACCCAAATTTTCATTATTTATAGCAACAACTGTACGATGTTCCACAATTTCTTCTGTTTTAGCTGTTACACTTTTTATTTCTTCTCTCTCAAATATAGATTTGGATCCCTCTCCTATGGTTAAATAAATTTATTTATAAATAGAAAATCTGAAGTACATGTATATGAAGAAAGCAATTAAGCAGTATTAGCAGCTGTGACAGACCTTAGAAATCTTAAGGTTAATATGTAAATAAACTGACCGCTTCTGAAAAATTGTAAGCCAGGACATTTTATAACAGATGTATGAAGTGAATGAAACGGTAAAAATAGTATAAAAGAAATAGAAATATAATTATCTTTCACTTTAAATTGCTGATTCTATAATAGTATTGTATATATCAATAATGTAAAAAAGATATATATTTACTATTAAAAATATAAATCACATTAAATGATTGCCAATTTATGGTTGCTACATATATAAATTCTTTAGATTAATTGCACAAATGAACAATTTTTTTTGGCGCCATAAATCATAAAACAATTTTATATACGTGAATCCATAATTATAAGAGAAATTAGTTATGAAAATACAATCTTTACTTTATGTTATTCTGTATATATATACTTTACTTATTTATATATATACTTTGTTATATATACGATATATATTTTTAACTAGTAATAATTATTCAGAACCAACGATTTCTTTCAGATTTTATGAATTTCAAGAAACTCAAACTTCTATTAAAATTTTAGCTAAAAAATAATAACAGTTTTCTTACAAGAAAATTTTGGTAAATTGAAGAATTGTCGAGATGTTTTATATGCTATATGTCTTCTATGATGATTAGAAAATCTTCCATTTTGTTGATATATGTATAACTGCATAGTTTATTATTTTCTTCAAATATATTTCATTATAACTAACTATTATATTGTAACACATTACATTTTGCAATCAAAAAAGTATCTTTAAGTAAAAATTTGATATTAATTACTTTTTCAATTTTCTATTGTTTATAGAATAATATTTTGTAACATTCTTGTTATATTATTTAAAACTTTATATACAAGAAAGTAGAAACCTGGAGATATTTGTAGTAATGAGTTACGTATAATACTGAAAGTTTATAAAATTTGCAAATCAAGTTCTATTTCAATGCCACCAGGCTAAAATAAAGCTACCTATTTATACAGAAGCCAATTAATTCAAATAGATTAAGTGAAAAATGCTCCTGTTTCATTATAGAATTCTTAGATGTGGTAGTTTTAATCTCTTAACCCGCAACGTCGCGTTGGAGACGTGGTACGTCGATCGAGCTAAACATAGACAACACGTATGAGAGATGTGGTACGTGGCTGTTATTGACTTATTATTTACTTCAAGATACTAAGTCTTTTTTTTGTTCAATGATCAATTGATAGTAATTATTTATCAAATATCTTGCAAAATAAAATTAGTTGTACCTTACACATGCATTTATACATCAAAAGACATGTGCGATTTGCACAACTTCGAACGCCCAGCCAAACCGTCAAATGGCTTGACGTGTAACCGAGCATATTGTTGCTTATGGCATGTACTATTGTAACTTCAATCGTAAGGCAAGGGATTAATTAGTTACTTTTGAATATAATTTTCATTCTTCAGTTGTAGAATCACGAGCCTTGGGAATGAAATTTCAATGAAAAGATTCCATAACTTTATCCTTCCTCCACTGTTAAATTAAATATATATTTAATATATCACCATAAAACATGAAATTTTCTAATTAAACTTTTGCGTTTCTAGACATGCAGACATTCCAAAAGTAAAGCATATGGAGAATCTACAAAATGGAGTAAGAATTTGAAGTACAGTTCGCAATAGATCATTTTTTTATATGTAACATTAGTTCTATTATACCATTATTCCAAAACATAATTTTTTTGTACAAACTCGATGACAAAAAAAGAAAATGTAAAGCAGCAAACAAGAATAAAATTACTCTTAGGACATTGAAAATATAAAAACATTGTGCTTACATATTGCACATTAAATGTTCAATATCCAGTTATCCAAATCCAACGTTGTATTCCAAATTTTCTTCATCCTTGGTGAATCAAATACATATCATTAAATTTAAAGTTACACATAACTTGCATTGAATATTATAGAACACAATACGATCACAAATTCATCATTTTCATGTCCATAAAAATTTCTATATAATGTCATCATTCTTCAGATGTTGCAATAAGTAAAGTGAAGATTTTGCTATCCATAATTAAATTTCAAACATATAGGAAAAAGAAAAAAAGAAAAAAAAATAGAACATATGATTATCAACCTTACAATACAAAGCATACAATATGCTGGAATATGAATTTATAAATTACGGTTGTTGGAAAATTCCGAAAGGAATTATCTTCCGAGTTGAATTTATATACTCCTTTAGTATTTCTTCATTGCATGACTGAAAGTTGTTAGGTAATTATAGAAAAAAACAATATTTATTTACCCTCTCTTCTTTTGACCAAAACATCTTCAAAATTGATAATATCTCGTTGTAGATCATCGGTTGCTTCGTCTGATACATTTCTGTGAATATCTTCTGTGAATGAATTTCTGTGAATATATACTTTGATTCTTCGTAGTTCTGCAGCAGTAACTTGTATGCCTTCTGGTCCTTTAAATAAAGGTGTTGTACCATCTGATGCCTCTAATCTATAATGCAAATGAACGTTTCGTCTTCCATAATTTAATATACTTGAATTTATCAAGCTATAATCTTCTTCATAAATTAAGAACCAAATTATACCTTTCAGTATCATATAATTATGTACCTAGCTGCTACACAATTTGTGAAGTAATTTAAATCTAATTTAAATACTTAAAATAATTAAGTAATATATATATACATATATATGACATATATATATATATATATATATATATATATATATATTATATATGTATATATATATTACTTAATTATTTTAAGTATTTAAATTAGATTTAAATTACTTCACAAATTGTGTAGCAGCTAGGTACATAATTATATGATACTGAAAGGTATAATTTGGTTCTTAATTTATGAAGAAGATTATAGCTTGATAAATTCAAGTATATTAAATTATGGAAGACGAAACGTTCATTTGCATTATAGATTAGAGGCATCAGATGGTACAACACCTTTATTTAAAGGACCAGAAGGCATACAAGTTACTGCTGCAGAACTACGAAGAATCAAAGTATATATTCACAGAAATTCATTCACAGAAGATATTCACAGAAATGTATCAGACGAAGCAACCGATGATCTACAACGAGATATTATTATATCCTCTAAACATTTGCCTTGAAATTAATTTTTATTTATATATAAAACAATTTCATTTAACTGTTTAAAATAAAATGCTTTGTATTATTCATACTTACTTTTTAGATAATATAGATGTATTAGATGTACTTAATGTAGCAACAGTTCTGTGCTGACTTTCCGGGGATTTACTTTCACTCGTATTGCTACTGTGATGTGAAAATCTTTCTTTGGGCAGTGATAAACCTTTCTCGAGAGCACGACGTATTTCATATTCTAAGATCTTCTTCTTCTTCAATTTTTCATGTTCTCGTAGCATTTGTTGTTCTACAATCCATTCGCGCCTACGCCGTAATCTTTCTTCTTCTGTTCTTCGTAAATCAGTCTCATAATTTTCACTGTGTGATGATCTCAATTTTTCATCACGATAAGAATGATTCGACACGTTTCGTTTCATTTCCCAAAGAAGAAAAGTTTCATATGCAATTAGGCTAGTCTGCAGTCTTTTTTAAGGTAAGGTAACTTAAGATTCAAATATGTACGTTAGATCCAAACAATATACAAATATCTAGTTATTACATAGAAAAATTTCCAAAATAGAAGATAAGTACAGCAAATAAAATTATAAAAATTATGTGAATAGTAAAGTTATCGTGTTAAACGCGAAGAAATAAATTTCACATACACTAATATAATATCTCACAAACTGCAAAAATTTGACGAATAAATGCTATATATAGAATATAGAAGAAATGAGAGGGTTCATATGTATGATTTGGGTTATTCTCGAACTTGTGCTGCACCACGCGGACCATGGTAGAAAGTGACCCACACTAGTATATATAATATCCTATAAAGTTAGGGATCTGCCCTGTTTAGTTGCGCCAGAGAAGAAATTCCTTCTTTCCTTAGTTGCACACTAGCATAAACGAGAACCTATTTAATTGTATGCGGAAAAGTTCATATCTACTTTTCGATCCAAGATAAACAAGTATGAAAATAGCAAAATGACGCAATAATTAAACTAATTGTAAGTTGTCTAAGAAAGAGAAATTAATTGTTTACTATATTTTTTTGGAGAAGAGAGAATATTCCCATTCAAACGATAATGGATCAGTGGAATGATGCAATAATTTTAATGTATTTTCCATATATCATTTAGATGTAACATTAACCCTTGGCAATTAGCATATTTATTGTACAGGCATGAATATTTTTTCATCGTCACGTGGAACCACATATTTTTTTCCTTGGTAGGTAAGTGGCGTTTCTTAAAACGAATCCAATAACCTGCACATCAAATTATTTTACTGCTGCAAAACGTTAAAAATTCATCAGTTCCTAAGGAATCAAATGGCTCAAAGTCGCTAGCTACTGGCTATTAGGTTGCTGCAAACGAAATTGGTTGCCGTAACCAAATATTGAATTTCTTATCTTCCATGATGCTTATCTAATTACCAAACATTACTGAATCGTGAAAACTCACTTTAGTCAACGTACTTTAGTCGAAGAATTGGAGTAGTAAACATATGTATCACAGTTTCATTTTGTTCTTTGGTATTTAAATTTCTAAACTAAACTTTGTTTTTGAATACCAATTTTTTTTAATTTGTTTTGCATCTTCTGGTAGTACTCGATGAATGGAAACTATGATATACTACATGTCACACCATATGTATAATATTACATCTGAAAAATTTATTACTTCGCGGACATACTTTGACTTTATTAATTTTATTACTCATTTTTGGTTCAGTATGATTGATGAATACAGGTTTCAAAGAAGGAGAAAGTCCAACCTCTATATACATACATTACATTAGGTAGCAAGAGGTCCTGAAGTGAGGGCGTCCGAGAGTTCGATTAATGGTTCGCAGGCAATAAAATAATAAAAAGCATAGAGTTTAAGGAAAAGATTATGTTAATTCCAAAAAATTCCGCGTCGCTGAATTATTCTTGATTATAAATAGTTGTCGTTCCCTTAAATTATTTCTAAAGACTCGGTGGTTCTACAATCGTATTGTTACCTTACAACACATGTGTTCCATCTACAGCATATTCTCAACTCATCGACGCTCATCCAAGATCAGATACCCAGCACCCTCTCACACTCTTAGTGGAAGAGTCTCCTATTGTCTGCAGGCAGTCTACATACACCTTTAATCAACAATCTGCGGATAATGTATGCAGACAATGTCAGTCAGTTCGTATGAGCAAAATTGAATTCTGTCTTATAGGAATGAAAAAGGACGAATAATATTGCTTGGGCCACATATATAATCCTTATCCAACTATGTTATTATGTTATGTTATTATAACATACATTAACATATTATTTGTCAAATCGGTTTACATATTGATAATAAAGCGGTATACTGTGACAGCAAATTAACAAATACGAAACACACGAATTGTACGAACATCTTGTACGTACCAACTTTTAAAATCTATTATTTACAAAGATCATTTCCTTTCGAAGAGTGATACAAATAATGTCTTTGACGTTAACCGTTGTTGCATTCGACATAGGCACATATATCCACTGATTTAATCTTCCTTTGCGAATGCATGACATAACAACTTGAAATAAAGTACAAAAAACAACGCACACGTCCGTGAAAACGTATCTACAAAAATAAAAATCAAATTAATAAGCAAATAATGTAAAGTAGTTAATTAAATAAAAATGAATAAAAATTAGAATTGGCTAAAGATATTTTTACTGGGAAATTTTCAACTAAGAAGGATGATTTTGGTCGAGATGTGTTTATTTGTGTTAGATACATATTTGGTTGTTGTGTGGACACAACAGACTGATAAATTTCCGTAAAATTTGTTTTTACAAGGCTCGTGAAAAATTCGACTTTTACTGAAGATTTATTTTCGGTACTGTGAAGAAACCAAAAATTTTTTCAGACGCCACCAATGACGGAACATCCCTATAGAATGTAAAAGGTTTCATTTCGATAAATCTGTCCATTGCAGAATAATCGTTTGATATATATAAAAAGAATAAACATTGAATTGATAACCTGCTCCTTTTCGAAGTTGGTTAAAAACATCATCTAGCGATTATATGTATTTAGGAACTGTTCATGAATTGTTTACTAGCGAAGGTGAAGACAGACACATTTTATACGGCTGTCTGCTGTTCAACATGCAGTGTAGGGACCCCTCATGCGCCTGTTTCCCGAGGCGTTCGCCGCATAGCATGTTCCTTTGTCGTCAAAGAAACACAGTAGACAGACGATGTTATTTAGAGGAATCGACAATCGGAGTATATGGTATACTCTCACAACCACCAATATTTCTGTACCATAGCAACAACAGTGATGATGGTGGGGACGATGCTTATCTTCCGGAAGACAATGTTATAAAATAAGTCTTAGTATTAAAATAAAAAAACATACAATTTTTAACTTTTTTAATATAACTTTATAGCCATTTTTTGTGCGAAAATACTGCCACTTTTAATTTTTTCCCAATGTTAGTTATTTTGAAGGCTAATTGGATAGGTCAATCGCTGTCTTAGGATAACCAATAGGCGAGAGCGTTTACCTTCTGTTTCCACTAATGCTGTCTCTACCAATGAACTTGCAAACATTCTGATCGTAAACCCCACTCTTATCCCTAAGTTTATAACGAATCTCCGAAAAAACAAATTTTAGGGAGATTTATCAGTTATCGTCTATCGCAGCCAACTCAATCTAACATGTGGCATATACATATAAAGAATTATTCTTGACCGCAACCGTTTTCTTATTTGTTTGTTTATTTGCGTTCTTTTATTCATTTCATTGTATTTTGTTTTCTTTATTTCATTCTTGTAGCTACGTTTTCGCGGATTTGTGTGTTGTATTTTATAGCGTGTTTCACGTATTTTACATTATGAATTTGCAGAACAGTAAATCAATAGATGTTTGCGCTTACGTCAATTGCAACAACGGCCGACATAAAGGACATCATCTGTATCGCTTCCCGAAAGAAAACAGTCCCCTTCTTAAAGAATGGGTTTCAATAATTGGTAAATACAAGGTGTTCGTACTGTGCATATATATGTTTCGTATTTGTCAATTTGTTATATTAACACATTGATGCTGGGTATTTTTTCGGTTATATCTCATTTCTGGGCATCATCTTTAAAAACTATCTTTCCGTTATCTGATAGTAATCGATGAACAAAGGCGATATATAGCAGTTTTTAATCTAGGAATCCATTGGTTCAAATATTTTGCGTTTTTAAAGTTTGGTACTTTCAACCTACTGTATGGTTTACTTTAACGTGATGACCATTTAGAGAGTAAATTGTATTATTTATTTAAGCATATATTGTGTTCAGAATAACAGTACACCGCTCTATTATCAATATTATGTATATGACTCGACTTGTCAAATAACATTTAAATAAAATTTATACAGAGTTATTCATTTAATTCGGAACTCGCGAGAAAATATGAGAATGGCAACAGTATAACGTATATGCTTACTATTGCGGTTAAATATTGCTCGCCATCTATGAGCTGTTGCTATAATTAGAACACAGAGCGATTTGGTTAGAGCCGAAGGACTTTAATTTGCTGTCACAATAAGGGGAAGACGACCGGTGGAAAAGCGAGTCACGCGTTTACACTCGATGATTTCATATCCCTGCGCACTCCCGAAACTTCGAAACAATTCCCACAATACTGCTTGTATTTTTCTGTCTCCATATGACAGTATCCAATTACGCTCATAATATTAACAAAGGCGAACAATGCATAAAACAAAAATGTCATACGAAATAACTTTAACAATGCATTTCTGGAACGATGCAATAGATTCTTAGATAATCAAACCGTAATTTCGAGACTCAAACTCGTTATATCTTGCCTCCATTTATCGAATACAGGAAACATGCGATAATTGCACAAAACGATCCTCTGAATAATTGCACACTCGTCATTCCCTCTACGGAGGGGTGGTTCCCCTGACACATGGATAAGCTTAACGGCTCGCTGCGATCGAGTAGTGTAACAAGATCAAATATCCATGATATCGCTGAGATAATGTATCTAAATGTTAATTTAAAAGTGAAACTTTTCTTATCTTTGACTTTTTAAAAATTAATCTTTTACTAATGTATTTGCGAGATTTTTCCGATTAAATTGAGTAATTAAATACGTTCCAAATTATACCGTGTTTGGTGCCACTTTAATCAGGAAGATGTAAGAAACATATTGGTAAAAGTTTCATTAGTCACAAATTGAAAATATTGAAAGAAAGAAAACAAGCAGATTTGAGTCTTGAGTTAAAAGGTTTGACTTATCGCAGGTATTTATATGTTGCCGACTTTGACTCTTCGTTCCTCTTTCTCTTTCACTCTAGTTTTTAAGTTTTCTTTTTTAAGTTCGGCACATCTAATATGTCAGTTTCCAAAAATAGTATCGTTTCCACATCTGCATAATTGCAACACTCAAATCCCGACTCTTATGTAATTATCGAATGTTTCCTATATTATAAAAAAGCGCAATAATAGTTCGGAAAAAGTTGTGCTTGGAGACGAAGTTCAGTCATTTCTTCAATTAAAATATATTCACGGTAGTGGAATTTATTGATGATATCTTAGGATTTACAATAAAAGTGTTACGTAGATTTTCTTTATTGAACGTTCACTACCGACCACAGAGATAGTGGCGAGCAATATTACTCGATCCGAGATCGAATATCGATAATGAATCCAAAAATAAAACTTCTATATTACTGGCCTATTTTTATGAAATTTTCATCATGTTCGTAATATTTTTCTCATTAAAACGTCACGAAACACGATATAATTGGTTAAAATTAGCGAACTAGTGTAGGTTTCTTCGTAAACGGAAA